AAAATTTTTTTTTTCCCTTTTTCATGCAAGACATTCGCACAGGTACAACTGTCACATGGGAAGGAAGAAAGGCTCAGATTTCCACCAAGGCAGGTGGTATCCACCCCTGAGCGTGGAAATCCAACACTTTATTACCTTGATTATTAGGGGTGAGCATCGTTCGGTTCGGTGACCGAACCGATTATTATGATTGGTTAACTAAATTTTTGATTGAAAAAAAAATGAAAACCAATTACCAAACCGAATTTGTGTCGATTGTATCGGTTCGGTATCATTTTTTTTCGGTATTATTATTTTCGGTTTCGGTGGACACCGAAATTAAAGTGAAAGGGTAGAAAATTCATAATTTAACCAAATTACAATGTAAATATCAAATAATTTTTCAAATCCCATAAAAAACAATAAAACATTATTAATAAATTCATAATAAGCTTGAATGAATAGCATAAAAAAAAAAGCACACATTAATAATAGAAAATATTATAATATTTATAACTACTATAAGAGTTGTTCATGTTCTACCATACTTGAAGTTATGAAGACTTCAAATAGTCATTTACAGTTATAGAATTTCACCATTAAAGAGAATGTAGATGCTATACAAAAAAACAAAAGTGATGTGTAGTTAGTAGTGTAGTGGCCATCCAACATCCTTTCTCCACAAAAAACCAAAGACGAGATGCAGCATGTATTTCCAATTTCCCAAACTTGCAACAGCAGTAGAATGGCAATGCAGTGCAGTGTAGCGCAGTGCAGCAACATCAAAGCAAGATGGTTTTATATACAAAAAAAAAGTAGCTCCAAAACCTTTATCAATGATATACAAAAAGAGAAGACCATATTTATAGTCTGGTTTATCTGTATGATAAATGTAAATAAAAAAGGTTACTAATTAGTATACAATAATAATCAATAATTAGCAAGGAGAGAAATTAGCAAGGAGAAGGAATAGCCGAATAGGAGCACAATGAGACAGAGGGAATGAACGAAAATAAGGGAGAAACAAAGGGTTAAGATTTAAGGAGGTTGCTGGGGCTTGAGTATGGTTGTGGACCTTGTGGTGGTCATGGCTGGTGCCTTGCTGATTCT